ATATATATATATATATATATATATATGCGAGATTTTACGGTCATGAGGTAGAGATATTTATGAATTATAGCTTGCATGTATCACACAACGTACAAATTATCAGCATGTACCAGTTTGAAGAAACCTGTAACGCCTACAGTTGCGTCTGCCTTGCTTAACAAATTACTAAATTTCTAAATTGAAATTACTAAATAAGATTTGGTTTTTAATTTTAATTGTTATTTTTACAGCAAATATACATTATATACCAGTACATACAATCACACAGTATATCTCAGTGTTATGTTTGACCTTTTTTTCCCGTGTACGAGTATTACTAATTACTTCGTCAATTTTATGCTGTGTGCTGTTAAATTGGTAATTTTTGTTTTCGGGTGATTGCTTATATTAAATTGAGGGATTCTATAATTAAAAACGTTAATTTTTAAACTGCTAATTATAATTGAAATGTTCGCTGTGTAATTTTAATTTACAAACAAATGCCACCACATTACATACTCGGTAATGTCGGTCAATTTGTTTCTCTTAATGCTTCTATCCTTACTGAAACAATTTTTTTAGAGGTAGTAGAAGTAACAGAATTCCATACACCTTCGGTATGCCATCATGGGCACGTATTCCTTTATTTTTATCTTTGTGTATTTTTATCTTATTTTATTGTTTTTATGAACCGTTTGTCTTAAATGTTTGTGTATTCATAAATACACACGAAGGCGCGGATTAGTAAATAGACATCACTGTAGGGATGGACGAGAAAAATATATTTTTTCCATTTAGCGAATATTCAGGAAGACTATATTCCTTGTCATGCTAGTTCGCTTTCTGGAAGCTTTTGATTTTAGAATCCCTGTACTGTTTCAAATTGCATCGCTTTGAATCCACTGTAATTCTGCGTTATTTTATAATCTATTACCGTATGACAATATATTGATGTCAATGCGCAAATGCGGCGGCGATGGTGTAACAGTTAACGTATCGCGCTGTTATGCCCGAGCTGTCCGGTTCAAATCTTGTCAAAGCCGTGGAATTTGTAAGGGCGAAAAAATCCTTCGTACGCCTTTCTTCGGAGGGGAAGTAAAGCCGGCTGTTCCATGTTAGTAGATTTACTTGCATGTAAAGATCCTGAAGCTTAAATGACGCCTCTGAGCTAAATTCAAATCGCCTATTCGTAGCCCAAGAAATACCTCCTTTCTCCGCTAGTTGGTGAAAGGAGCGTAGCGAAATTTGCGTGGTCAGACGGAAGAGCGGGGCTGATGGCCCGAGTCTCGCCACGTAAAATAAGGCAGTAATTCAATTTAAATCAAAATCTAGAAACTTCTGCTGTTTACCTGTTTTTATTCTACTGGAGATTATTTTGAGTGTCAAACTATGCTACGAGTACGCGACAGTAAAAATAGTGTTTACCACAGTGGACGAGAACATCGAAAGCTAATTGAATGCAATTAAAAAGGCGTAGACTTCGTTTAGGAAACCCACAAGGCGTTGCCGAAATCTTGAAGATTAATTTTTGTACGGCATCGGTGTTAAATTTTCTGATCTTCTTAATGCTACAGATGTGTCCTTCACGTAGGGCTTCCTAGCGCAGGTTTCATTACGGAAATTTCCAGAAGCCCTCAGTCACCTGCGTCAAATTTCTCCCCTTTTATCGCGAGGTCACCTGCCGCCATCCAAGTGTGATATTGGATGACCGGTGGCATTCCATCTATATGGTCGAACGCTTTAATTAAATATTTTAATTTTTAATTTATGTTGTAAAAAAATATTTTCCGTATAAATTGACGCGCAATTACCTATTTACACGTGTAATTTCAATATTCGGAATGTCATTGAAGTAATTCGTGTTTAATTTGTGAGCTCCTACAGTCGTCGGCATGTTGTTCGTTTTCTCGATCATGCAGGCAAATGTACTTCGTAAGGCATTTAAGAGCTCATAAATCAAAAATAATTTTCAACAATTTTTGGCTGTTTTCATGAAGTTATTGAAGCATTAAGATTAAAATTACTAAGGAGAAGTACAACAGAGGCTAATGATAATTCATTTTTGTAAGATGCTGGAAATCATCACTCATATTTATTAGGGCCGAGAGAGGGTAGGAAAGAAATTGGTTAATAAGTTACATTCGCCTTAGCAATCTAGACTGCCAGAGTTGGCACCACTGTTGAAAAGTGTGAAGGATTTTTGAGTGTGGACTTGAATATTAACGACGCTCGGAATAAGAATTGTAATTCTAAGTATTACTATTCTGTGACAGTGAATGTTGTTCTTTAATCGGGAGTTTAAAAGTTGTATCGGCTGGGACGGTTTTGCGCTGAGATAAAAAATCTGGAAGAGGAAAACCTCGCTAGTGGACATACAGGTCGATGACGAATCTCACACCTCACAATCTGCGTTGAAGAAACACTACCACCTCTGTACATGTAAAATGCGCTATTGACTAATGATTTCAGTAGTTGGCGTGACCCAACTTAATACTCATTTCTCATGTAACAATGTACGTACTGTTGTGTGTGTGTTTTTTTTGTGGTCTGATTAATCCGACTGTTGCGTAGCTAGTAGTGTTTTCAGGGTTGGGCCTGAGGGGAAGGGAGCCACATGGTGAGCAGTTTCCTAATCCCATCACCGTGTTTAGCTCTCTCTTTCGATACCCAGCTATAGACACGGAGACGATTTGTATTAGAAAAGTACAGCTTTTTTCTTAGCCCCTTGCCAAGAACCGAACCCGAGGCCGCCTCGCAGAAAGCTAGCACGCCGACCATGTACCGCCAGAGGGGGGGCAGTAACAATATAATGGAACAAATTCCGGAAACATTGTTGCATTCCGCGCCGACCAATCAGCGATAGTCTAGGGCGCGCGCCCCCGCAATCTCCGTCTGGGCGAGCGAGAAGAGGAGCGAAAGGCAGGGGGGAGGGCTAGTATATAGCTTGTATTTGCCAGCCGATGCCACGGCACATTGGCTGGCTGGCTGGCTGGCGGGCGGGCGGGCGAGCGAACATCAAAGGGACGAGTGCGGAATATTAATTCTGCGTTGGCGCTGCCTGGCGAGCGCTGCGGGAACTAGTGCACGGGCTGTGCGCGCCGACAGCTCCGCTGCTCATCTTGATTGAGGCTGCTCGCGGGAAGGACGGAGTGTGATAGCCGTTAACAGGGCAATGCGGCCGGAGCTCCGCTATTCGAAACCCAATAATAATAATAATAATAATAATAATAATAATAATAATAATAATAATAATAATAATAATAATGAAGATGCAGAATAATAGCCCACACGGATTACACCTATAGACACAATCAAGAAATGCGGGAGAAGTGGGGTTATTAGTAAATGAAATAGGCCGCTAGATTTGATTATGCAATGCCAATCTCTGGAGATCTCACTCATGCCTTCGCAACTTACTCAATAATTGGCGTTCGAACTTTCTCCGGAGTTCGAGGTATCTCTTGTGATGCATCTTCTCCTGCTTCGGTCATTTCTTTAGTTTTTTGGGGGGGAGTGGAAATTGCGGTCAGAAGCTCTTGTCTTAAACAGCAAATAGTTTATATTTCGCGCCTTGTCCATTCATTTCCTGTACAGAAAAACGATGAAATATGACCGTGTGAAACGGGCTTTAAGTTACGGAAGGGACTAAATTTATATTTTGTGGTGTCAGGCCGTAGTTTCGAACCAGTCTTTTCCTAATTCGTACTGTACTCGTATACAACGAAACATTTTGAACTTTCTACAATATTTTGGAAGCCAATCGCATGTGGGTACCTGTGAGGTGACGGTATCACTCCTCCGATAGATCGTCAAATCCTGCATCGATTTGCACATCGACTTGTAGTTTTCCCCTCCAAGTTTCTCCCTCCAGCGGGCCATCGCTCCAGCCCGGACATGGTCTTAGATTTCCCCAATTGATGTCCCAAGGTATAAGTATTGGCTGATCGACACGTGAACTACCGATCAATTGTCCAAAGTGGCGATGGTGTAACGGTTGGCGAATCGGACTGTTAAACCCAAGTTGACTGGTTTAAACCCTATCGAAGCCGTGGATTTTTAAGGACGAAAAAATCTTTCGTTCGCTTTCCTGCAAAGGGGAAGTAAAACCGGCTGTCCCATGTTAGTTGATATACTTGCAAGTAAAAGAGCTGTGAGCTAAATTCAGATCGCCTGTTTCGTCGCCCAAGTAATACCTCCTCCTTTCTTCGCTAGTTGGTGAAAGGAGCGTAGCGAAATTTGCGTGGTCAGACGCAAGAGCAGGCCTGATGTCTCCAGTCTCGCCACGTAAAATAAGGCTTCAATTCAAATTCTCCTCCTCCTCCTGCTCCTCCTCCTCCTGCTCCTCCTCTTCCTCCACCTCCTCCAGTCGCTGTCCTGAATCGGTCTTAGCTTTGTAGCTAGTGCTGAATATCCGCATCCGTCCGCACTCGAACCTAGGACCTCCCGGTCAACGATGCTGCGTAGGCAACGATCTTGTCGCTGAGCTATTTCAGTCGACCAGAATCCGTTTTGCTCGGAAACCCACGTCTGCCCATGAATTGTAAGTGTATTCAGGTGTCTGCTCAGTCAGAGACCGCCCTTGCAAGTCCGCATTCCCACTTATTGTCAGCCATCTTCGTAGAAACTTTGCGTAGCTTGAAAACACGGTTGCCGAGTTGAGGAGTATAGTGGCGCATTTCCGGAGGGAGCTGTCCATAAAGTCTTCAGTACTCCCAACACGCTCTCGGGGTTATTGTTAATTCTAGAAGGCGCTCGCTCATGATTCAATTAACCGTACTGAGTACGCGTCTTTCGTGCGAATTAGGCGAAAAGAAAACGGCAGTCGCAGCCGTGCGTCATTTCTCTTCATAAATACAACAATCGATCTGCTGTGTTAGTACT